TGACTGAATATTACCTGTTTAAAATAGCAAGCAAGTGGGAATTAGAAATGTATACATAGAATAATGTTGTTTGAGAATAGCCCAAAGTACCAATTGATTAATTTTGTTAATATAGTTATGAACATTTACAAAGATTGGGAAAAATTTAGAGGAAATGCCTCTTTCTCTAGTTTTAAAAATACTTTTAATACTGACTAATATGACATATAAACTCTGGACATGGCAAATGGAATTAAAATAATTGTAGATATCTACCAAAGGTAGATACTTGACGAATGCATGAAAGGATTAAACCCAAAGTATGCCAGGGCTTATGTCAGAATGATTGTAAAACACATCTGAAAAGCTTAACCCAGAGAAATTCATCAACACAGCAATGTTTTTTGTTTTGTTTTGTTGTGGATTTTGTTTTGTTCCAGTCCTGAGTCTTGAACTCAGGGACTGAACACTGTCCCTAAGGACGGTGGCTAGCACTCTACCACTTGAGCCACAGCTCTTATTTCCAAATATTGGGTGGTTAACTGGCGATAAGAGTCTCACAGACTTTCCTGTATATGCTGGCTTTAAATCACAGTCCTCAGATCTCAGCCTCCTGAGTATCTAGGATTACAGACATAAACTACCAACACCCAGCTTCACAGCAATATTGTTGTTTTATTTTTAAGAAGAAATGAAAAACCCTGCCATCTTTCATCACCAGCCATCCTCACTCTCCACCCATTGTGTAAGTCATTAACAAACAGGTGCCTTGCATACTGGAGAACCAGGTTGCATAGGAATGGAGAGTCTTTCTGTAAGATCTGCCACTTTGCCCTAGGACATCAGTTCTGCCATTTCAAAAGTTTAGCTGCTGATTATCCCAAGTGAGGCTCTGATCACCAACCCTATTAGTTCCACCACTTTGAATTCTTTCACAGCCTTTCTCACCTGCACCAGTAGGAGGCAAGCTTGTTCCCATGGGTCAGAGAAGAGAAATGCTGACCTCATCTTGAGAGTCCTTAAAATAGTACTAGATTCAATTCAATCAGAACAAGAAGTTTCACAAGTAAAAAATATTGCTTTGGGCTATGGCAGTACAAAAATCACACATTATGCCAGCACCGGTGGCTCACGCCTGTAATCCTAACTACTCAGGAGGCTGAGATCTGAGGATCACGATTCAAAGCCAGCCCAGGCAGGAAAGTCTGTGAGACTCTTATCTCCAATAAACCACTAGAAAACCGGAAGTAGCGCTGTGGCTCAAGCGGTAGAGTGCTTGCCTTGAGCTGAAGAGCTTAGGGACAGCGCCCAAGCCTAGAGTTCAAGCCCCATGACCAACAAAAAAAAACAAATTTAAAAAAAAAATCACACATTATACAACTTCTCCTTCCCCCGAAATAAAAAATCGGTTCAGGGCAGAGGACCATGTTCATGATTTAACGAATATTTTCATAAGGCAAGTTGTTTTTTCACTTGACCCTTTAAGAAGGATTTATGAGGATAAAATATAAAATCCAAGAAAAAAAAAACAGAGATGTGTTGGTCAGAATCATGAACCAGAATTTTCTGGAAAGATGTTTTTAAAATCCCAGTCCAGGCCAGCACCAGTGACTCACTTCTGTAATCCTAGCTACTTAGGAAGCTGAGATCTGAGGATTGACGTTCAGAGCCAACCTGGACAGAAAAATCCATAAGACTCTTATCTCCAATTAACCACCAAAAAAGAAAATCCATAAGTAGATGTATGACTCAAGTGGTAGAGCACAGCTTGAGTGAAAAAGCTAAAGGAGAGTATCCAGTCCTGAGTTCAAGCTCCAATATAAGCGTGTACACGCACACACGCGCACACACACACACACATACACACACACATCCTTAGTCCATCCTTCTTTATGATTTTGTGATTTCATTTTTATTTACTGGAATGATTTTTAACCCCTAGTTTAGCAAAATAAAGTTCATCTTTGTTATTGAGGCTGCTGAGTAATATTTCTATACACCCTAACCAGCTCTGAGCAGGTAATAGCAGGTGAGGGAAGTCTCCCTCAAAAATCTGAAAGAGGTGTGATTTTAAAAAAATCATTCATACTGTAGAATCAGAAAGCTCTGCCAAAATAGATACTGCTGAACAACAACAACAACAAAAAAATTCTGAAGAGCAGTCTCAACCACCGGATTTTAGGTTTGGTAACTGATAACTTTATCTCAAAAAAGAGATCAGACAAGTTTGTTTTCTTTTTCTTTTCTTTTTCTTTTTTTCTGATACCAAGAGTTTAAACAAAGGGCCTTTGCTTGCTTGGCTGACACTCTACTACTTGAGCCATGCCTCCAGCCCTGCTTTTTCTGATTATTTGGAGATGGGAATGGAAAAATGTCAATCAGATGGATGTGTATTCTGGGCTGGCCTTGAACCATGATCCTACAGATCCCAGGCTCTTTAGTAGCTAGGATTACAGGTGTGAGCCACTAGTTCCTGGCAAACTACCAGTTGATTTTTTAAGACCCAGTTTGAACCTTCAGTGAGTCTTCATTTCCTAGTTTTCTGGTTTCAAATCTTTTTTTTCCAGTCCTAGGGCTTGAACTCAGGGCCTGGGGAGCTTCTTTTGCTCAAGGATGACACTTTACCACTTGAGCCACAGCACCCTTCTGGCCTTTTCTGTTTATATGGTACTAAGGAATCGAACCCAGAGCTTCATGCATGCTACTCAATAACTCTACCACTAAGCCACATTCCAAGTCCCTGGTTTCAAATCTTGTTCGTAGTATACTCTACTTCCTATCTTCCTGAGAAGTAGCTGGGCTCATGCCCAAGACCCCATTCCTTAAGTAGCCATTGGCCTTGACCTTGGTAAAGACCTTAGCAGTCACCTGGCTTCTTTGGGTCTCCTTTAGCCACTCAGCTGTGAGAAGGATGGCATCACCTAGCGGCTGTCTGTCTCACAGGGATTGTAAAACATCAGTCCAATTTTACAAAGGATGAATTCATCCAAGGAAGAACCTGCCCAAGTGAAATATTTTAATGCTTCAGTTGTAATTATTGCTATAATATCCAGGCAGCATGAGGAATGAGAGGAGAAGGGAGCAGATATATGCACCTCTTGTATTCATGGTAATAGAGTGGGAAGAGGCCTTTAGAAGCCACTTATGGACCCATTTCATTGGGACATGGAAACCTCCAAGGCTTAAGTGGTGAGCTCAGGGTTATCCACCTTACCATATAGGATTGCAGGAGCTGATCCCAGTTCTCCTAGCTCTCAGCCATGAGTTCTCTACACCATCCAAACTCGCTCTTGGTGGGATAGCTTCTGGGAACTAAGCATATATGCAAGGTCTACTCTGAGTCAATGAAGAGAAAAATCGCTCCATAAGGTACTTGTGGGGAAACGGTATATGAACACTGAGTAGGGAGAAATATCCAACCATCAGATGGTCCTAAAAAATTCACTCCCTCCACTCAATTCTGATTTCATCTCAAGTCTAGAATCTGTCTGCTTTGAGACAGCCTGGCAGACCATTAGTATGAGAGCATTGAGAAACCCTCAAACTCCTCTCACTGATAGTCAGGGGTGCTTTGGCTTCCTTCCACCAGGTCAGGTGCCAGATATAGCATTCAGAAACATCTGACCAAGGAGAAAAGCCTGAGACCACTCTGGGCTACAGAAAGAATATGATCTGCCATCCTCACCTCTCATCTTTTCCATTATCACAGTCCATCCAGATGTGTGATCTCTTGTTCTTGCCTCAGGGCATCTATTATAATTTCATTTATTTCCTCAATGCATATTAATTGAGCACTCATTATATTCAAGGCACAAGAGAGCCTGACAGGACTAGAGACTTCAGGAAATATCTTTTTAGGTTTAGAGATTCTTTGCTGTATACATGTGCAGTTTGGGGGTATTATCAAGGTACATTTTTTCTGGGGTCCTTAGCTTTTATCTAATCTGTTACCTGAAAACAATTTAGAATCACCCTGACAGTGAATACTAGAAAGAGGGAAGAAGACTAACCAAGAGGATGATGGGAAAAGATGAACATGGTTGAAATAGATTGTTTGCAACTATGAAAATAGAACAATGAAATCTGTTGATTGTTTAGGGAAGAGTGGTAGAAGGGAAAGGAGTGATAGAGGGTTTAAGATTGATTGGAATATATTGTAAAAACATGTGGAAATGTAAGAATGAATACACCTTCCCATGACTAATCTAATTTTTTTTTAAACCACCATGCAGGGTGTTTGCTAGGACTTTACTTCATGCAATTGCTGACCTGATCACTCTCTCCCTCTGCCCATTGTGTCAGCTTGTTGGGAGCTGATGGGATATGAACAAGTCTACCCAGAGCCCTGGAATTTTCTGTAGAATGCCAGGAAGCTGTGCTTAGCCATGCATTCATATCTGTGGATTCTAACTCTGGTATTGATGTCTTCTCCTGTGTGTTAGGCCCTGAATTTCAGTGGGTCCTAGAAAAGACACAAGGGGCATTTGTCAATAGATGATCCCCTCAGTCCTAGGAAGGGATGCAGACTGAGCCACTTTTTAGCTCTCAAGGACCTTTCAGTCCCGTGGGTCCCTCTGATTCATGTGCTCCTTTTGTAGAGAGAGGAACTGGTTAGAGAATTCCCCATGTGTTGTTCTGTGAATCCTGTAACTGCTCACTCACTGCCCTGGACAACCTATGGCCTCTGATGAGCTGTCTGCAGGGTGACACTAGGTCTGTACTATCCCACCATGTCATGTGACAGCTGATTAGCACATTGCTACTCCTGTGGAAGTGGTTTGGCAAAACAGCAGTAATACCTCCCATGAGTAACTTTGGATTAATTTAGCAGATTATTTGATACAGAAACTGAGAATGCAATCATTGCTAGTTGGTGGACCAAGAGGCAGTGTCAAGACAAACCATCATTAGAACCGAGGTGTTGGGATGCCCCGGGCAAAAAGAGCATTGCTCTGCACCTGCACTGTGTACAAGCACACGCCATGGATGCTGGACTGAGTTCTGTTCCTTCTCCCCTGTAGAGAGAAGACACGGTTCAATGTGCAGACCTTCTCCCTCTCCAGCATCTCCGGCCTCCAATTCCAGGACATCAGTAGTAGCACAGGTGAAAACAAAAGCCTGTCTCAGCGGCCATAACTCTGCCAGCAGCACCTCAAAGCCATTCAAAACGCCCAAAGACAATCTTCTTACCTCCAGCAGCAAACAGCACACAGTCTTTCCCGCAAAAGGATCAAGGGACAAACCATGGTGAGTGTCAGCGGCTGGCGGCCAGCAGCTGTCTGTCCCTGCTGCCTGTCCCTGTCACCATGGGAAACAGTGTTTACACTCTGGCTTTGTTCCTGGGCATTATGTCTAGGAATCTGGGAGACCAAGGAAAGAACCCAGAATGATGCATGAGAAAGCTAAATATGAGCGGGAGCGTGGGACTTTAAAAGTGCCGTGTGCCTGACAAGGGGGGATGTTTCTGCTTTTGAGAGCTGAGCCAAGTTGTATCTAAGAAAAGGGAAACAACGCACTAGTCCTCAGTTAGCCAGTTACCTCTCAATTTTCCGCCCCAGTGAAGAGCAACTGGTGTAAATAATGGAAAGCATAGACAGTCCGCCCAGCCAGGAGCCAGCCAGAAATGCTGCTCCAGCCCTGGAGGCAGAGACAGCCCTACCCCCACCCCCAGAGCCTCAGCTCCCAGCTCCTGGGGCTCACCTAGCTTTCTGGGAGCTGGCCACAGAGGAGAGGCAAAACCAGAGGTCACTCCTTTGATGTGGAAGGAGAAAGGTGCTGTCAGACTGACTGTTTTCATCCATTTTTAAAATCTGTCTTTACCAGAAAGTAAGAAAAGCTTCCTTGTGGGATGGACAGATAAGAAAGCAAACTGAACTGAGCAAGTATCTGGAGTGCTATCAGTACTCACTGTGGGGCACTTAAGACTGGCTGTCACAGCACCTCCAGTCTTATCTTTCAGGCCTCTAAGGCAGAGGAGGGACAAGTGTAGACTCTGTCTACTTTCTATGTTTAAAAAGGAACAGTTTTAATTAATTGAAGTGATGCTAGTTCATTATACTGACTCCCAACCTAGGGAAGCTGTGGAATAAAAGCATCCAACAATGGGGTAGCAAATTATGATACCTTAGTAAAACAGCTAAATTGTACTGAATATGTGGGAGAGTCTCTGGATAGTGTAGAGAGATTAGACATGGGTGTAGAAGTAGCTGGGCCTCATGGGTACCTTCTTTGTTCTCTAAAGATAGTGGGGTCTCAAATCTAACCTGTAGGAGGTAGGAGCTATTTAGAGAAGACCCAGCCTAAGGCTAACAACCTGTGGGCAACATGAGTCTCCTAGGCCTTGCTCTGCAATCCTTCATGTCATTGGCCTGGGAGAGCTGAGATTTTTGCCAAGTTGCATGATGTCATGACGTAAGCACAGGCTCTGGAATCCCTGTCTGGATACGGATTTCTGCTGAGTGATCTTGATGTGCCTTCATGTCCTCCCCTGTAAAATGGGCTAAAATAGCTCTCCCCCATGGGACTGCTATGAAGATCAAGTGAGCTACTTTTCTTTTTCTTTTTTTCTTTTTTGTCAGTTATGGGGCTGTTTCTCAGGGTGCTGTTTTTGAACTCATTTGCTCAAGGCTAGGGTTCTACCACTTTGAGCCACTGTTCTACTTCCAGTTTTCTAGTGGTTAATTGGAGACCAAAGGCTCATGGACTTTCCTGCCCAGGCTGGCTTTGAACTGTGATCCTCAGATCTCAGCCTAAGATTACAGATGTGAGTAGCTAAGATTACAGATGTGAGCCACCGGCACCCAGCTCCTTTTTTTTTTTCCCCAACTTGAGCTACTTTTCATATAAAGCACCAAACACAATAGCTGGACATGTTTAATACATAGTTTAGGTTAGTGTTATGTTCATTATATTTATACGTATTTCAAAACAGAGATAAAGTTTATAAGACAAAAGTTAGGAGACTTGCTCTTCAGTTTCAGAATGAAGTTGAAGATGGAAATGGGAAATGATACAATTTATTCAGGATTGGGAAGGTAGCTCAGTGACTGAGTGCTTGCCTACCATGCACGAAGCCCTGAGTTCAATCTCCAGCACCCCAGAGAGGGGAAAAAATTATTCAGAATCTAGAAAGGAAGAGGAGGAGGAGGGGGAAGAGGAGGAGGAGGAGGAAGAAAAGGAGGAGGAGGGAAGGGGGAGGAAAAAGGGGGGAGAAAGAGGAGGAGAGGGAGGAGGCGGAGGAGGAGGAGGGAAGGGGGAGAGGGGAAGGAAGAGGAGGGGGAGGGGGAAGAGGAGGAGGAGGAGGAAGATGAGGAAACGACAACGATGACGACATAGTTGTCTGGGCTAGGAATGTGGCTCAGTGATAGAGTGTTTGCCTAGCATGCATGAAACCCTGGGTTTGATTCCACAGTACCACATAAATAGAAAAGGCTGGAAGTAGTGCTGTGGCTCAAGTAGTAGAGTGCTAACCTTGAGCAAAAAGCTCAGGGACAGTGCCCAGGCTCTCTGATTTCATGTCCCAAGGAAGAAGAAAAAAGTCTGTCAATTAGCACCTGAGTGAGGAGGGAGGGGGTGATCATGGATGATCAGCAAAGGAACTTACCTTATGGAGGGGCAACTGAGGGTTCCTGTTGTCCCAAAGCATCCTCCCAGAAGTGAACTTTCAGGGAAACCTTCAAGGTTTGGGCATTCTCCACTTTCAGTGGAAAGTCAGCCTACCAAATACACATCTAAGACCATTCTCACAGTACCCACATCGAAAGAACTCAGGAGCTCTAAGTGCTTGTGGCTGCAGACTCAACACAGATTTTGACATGTTTCCCAGTGATCTTTAGGGGTGGGGAGGTCTCTCTTTTTCTTTCATTCAGAGGTGTTATGTTAACTGGGTTCTTTGGTTTTTTTATGAGAATGAAGGAAGATTTCTTTTTTTTTTTCATATTTAATCTGACACTGCTAAGGCCTTTGGCAGGAATCAACATGGGAGATCTGATCATATGCAGAGAATTCCTGGCCAAAGTTCCTTCCCATGGTTCAAGTGAGCTCTGCATGGACAGTCAAGCAAGCACAAGCAGGGCTGCCAAGGGGGCTGGTGACCTCGACATGAGAGTTATGTGAGCTACTTCTTCTCTAAGTAGCTCAAATTCACATGTACAGAGGGGCAAACACCCCTGAGGTCAGGCTGACCTCCTGGTATTTTTGCACAAAATTAAATAGGTTGTGGTTTTTGTTATTTTCACCCTTCTATGGCTGGGTACATTAAGAAAATAACTGCATAGGGCTGGGAAGGTGGCTTAGTGGTAGAGTGCTTGCTTTGCATGCATGAGGCCCTGGGTTCGATTCCTTAGCACCACATAAGCAAAAAGAAAAAAGGTCAGAAGTGGTGCTGTGGCTCAAGTGGTAGAGCGGTAGCCTTGAGCTGAAGAGCTGAGGGACAGCGCCCAGGCCCAGAGTTCAGGCCCCATGACCGGACCCAAAAAAAAAAAAAAACAAAAAAGAAGGAAGGAGAAAAACAGGGAAGGCACCCATATTACCAGGGCTCCCCACTTCACCCTGCCTAACCACCCCAGCTCCCACACCCACTCAGACTATCAACCCCCTGCCTTCTAGTTCACCCTCCAGCTTCTTGGGGACCACCCTAAGGAAGCTAAAACATTCATATAGTCTGTAAGAGATGGACAAGATGGTTTATCCCCAGATGAAATCACGAATTAGGAAGCTCAGCTCAATGGCCACAGCTCTACCCCATCTACCTAGAAGGCTTAGATGACCAGAGCGCTTAAGCTTGGGAGGTTGTGGCCATTTGCCTCTTTGGCACTACAGTGAGCATTTCAGCCTTTACTTACGAGTCCCTGCTCAGCCAGGGAGCAGGCCTTGGCAAAGTGACCAAGTCAGCCAGTCTGATTTTCCTAGCAGTTGTTGCTTCCCTGCTGTCCCAGTATGGAGAATTGATGGGGAAACTCTAGCCCACTGATACAGGCTGATGTGGGCAGGAGGCAGGAGGAGGTGGGGGAGATGTTCCTCCTCTGGATGGCTTGTTGCCTTCTCTTTGGGCCTTATCAACCTGCATGTGTGTGTTGAATGCTAACTATGCTCAGCTATTAAAAATGCAGGAGATGAGCCTGCCACTCCAGAAGGAAAATGAGCCAAAGCAAAAGAAAAATCAGCAGGCTCCCTGGCCTCCCTGTGCTGCCCTGAAGCATGGTGGGGAGGGGCTCCCTCTTCCAATGCAGGCAGGGCTCCTCTCAAAATGCTTAGAAATGCCAGGTCAGGAGTGAAAGGGGATGGGGGAGCCTGTGAACTGTGGAAGTCTTCCCAACCTTTTATGGAGAATGACATGATCCCTGAGAAGCCCTGGCCAGATGCCTGAGGAGGAACAGGATAGCTTATCTCTTCTTGCCTGGTGATGGCGTGAACTAAGGACAGGACACAGCTTAGGACTGATGGCTCCCAGAAGACCTAGGGAACCCTTTCAGCGATTCCGCTCAGGTTGTGAAATCCTAGCAACCCCAAATGTTACAGACCCTCTAAGAGAACAAGCAGTTGGCTGCTGTAGCTTCTCCAGCAGCATGCTTGCCATGCCTCCACTGGCCTCCTCACCCCTCACCCTGCTCCTCTCCCATTCTCCCTCCAGCCCTACCAGAATGGTGTGGGCCTCTGCTCTGTTCACAATTCATCAAGGCTCTCAGCTGTTTTCTATGAAATCTGACCCCTTTATGATAAGCCACAGAAGAACGAGGGAAAGGGGGACAGTGGGCTCTTGCATAGGAGGTAACAGGAGCTTAAACATTAGGTACTGCATGCCCGCTGGCTCCCAGTTGCGCTTAGGTAAGGACAATGGACAGCTCCTTGGGCGCAACTGCTAATGACCTTGTTAAGTCACAGAAATGCTCAAGAAAAGAGAACAAGGAGGGAAAAATAAGTTCAAGACAGCTGGGAAAGGAGGAAGAAATGACCTGATAGAGAAGAGTGTGAACTACAAGAATTGATAGCTATTACCTTACATGGTTGTTACTCAGCACGGTTTTCAGATGCTTTCATAGCTCAAATCCCGGTGGAACCTTAAGACTCTGGGATGACGGTAAGAAGATTGAACTCCAGAAGCGCAGTTGCCACCTGAGGTGCCATACATTGTGAAACAGTGACAGAGCTGGCGCTACATCCCTGGTCTTTGAGATCAAGAGCACAAGCCTTAGGGGGGTCTGAAGTCAACCCCACGTCTGCCCTTCATTTTGCTGAGTGGATTGAGA